GTCTTCTTTGCGCGAAACTCCAGACTTTACTCTCGTATTAGCAACTGAGCCCATTTCTGCCTGGATCAACTTACGTGGTGCGACCGATGAGGTCACATTCTTCCATGAATAGTGCGCCGCGCCCATCCAGTGCTCGAGAAATTCTGTCGAGGCTCCGGCCTCCCTTCCCCCAATCATGACAGTTGTTATTTATGTTGTTTTCGTCGTGGCCTGTGAGCTTGGACTTGAGGTGCTTGATGAGCTTGTGCTGTTTCGAGCGTAAGAACTGCTCCCGTATGTCATAGAACACGAGCAAGTAAGCCCGTCGCTTGGTCTTCTCTACAGCCGTCGATGGGTTTGATAAAGTCTGAAGTTGCCGGTATAGTTGGCAGACTGCGTCCTGTTGCAGTGAGGTCTCAGCGGTCACCCAACGCTCAATTTCTTCCTTGTATCCCAGAGGAGGGGCAGTTCGCGAGAAGTGCTTGGAGATTGTCGCCTTCAAGCTAACGGGAAGTCTATCCCACGTATCGTTCTTGGCGATGCCTTCGAGAAGGCCGTCAATGGCGGCGACAAACTACTTGTTGAGCAAGACTCGGAAATTCGTTGGAGGGCCTTACCTTTGGGTCGTCAAGCCGTACCCCGCTCAATCCAAGCACCTCCTGCAAGCGGGCAAACGGCTGATGCGGCTCTCGATTGCGAGTCTCCATTGTTGAAAGAGTGTCTTTGAGTTGAACGTGGGAGCTCAAGATCCCCAGCCGAAGGTGGTAGGAGACCCCAAGATTGCTTCTCTCAGATCCGTGAGTGTCCCCGTAGGACCACCGTGTATGGTCAAGGTTCCTCGCTTACAGGGATCGCCAGGCGGGGTAGCAATGTCTCATACCCCCTGTATGCCTGCTTGCTTTTGTCTACAAGGGTCATTTTGGGGACATGTCCCCAAACCACTCTGCCAAGCTGAACCGCCCAGGTATAGCCCCCCTGTAGGTTATCGTGAGCACACCCCAGTCTTCTGGGAACATGTCCCCAAAGATGAAGATTGGCAATCGCTCTGGGTTGGCCCCCAAATGGTTGGCAGTGTTGCTGGACACTGCATATAAAGCCTCGTGAGGCAACCAGTTGCCTTCTCGGTGTCCAGGAAGGGATCTATCGCTGCACGCCGCGCTCCCCTGTCTCTGCATTCTTCCTGGCTCGAAAGTGCACTTCTGTGCCCCCGTGTCCTCCCACGTCGATACATCCAACATGGTGATCCCTCGCCCCCTCAATATCCTAGTGACAAGGAGCTTCTCTATTACTGTAGGCACAAGTCCAATCATTTATTACTTCATTGCTGACCCTTGCAGACTGACTCGGGCTTGACATTGGCATCTTGCTCCAGCGACGCCCAGAGGGGCGAGTATCCCGATGATACCGAACATGAGACTCCCACCTCTCCCCCCCAGGCGGGTCCATTGGAAGACTGTGTCACGCCGCTTCCCGAGGACTTCCTACATGGTCTGTCCCCTGTCCCAAGCACTTCCCACAACCACAACGCCCGCAATGACGAGAGCCTCCTTGATGCTCAGTCATACCCGAGTCCTTCTCGAGTCACCGGCCCCAACATCCCGCACGGGTACTGCAGTCATGGTCCTCCAAGTCCCCCGTTAAGTGCAGTCGGCTCGGTATCGCCTCCGCTCTTCTTCTTACCCGATAACCCTCCCCCTTCACCGATTGAGCCTCTGAGAAGACTCAGCGTGCAGGAACCATCAAAAACCCCTCAGTAAGTCGATGGTGCCTGCCTTTGCAATACGTCTGTTGATACACTGCCTGCAGGACGCAATCCGATGTACCCATTGCGCACCAAAACCTCGCCGTAGTACAGTTTGATGAGGAGAAACTTACATGGGAAGGCACGGCACCCTTGCACGCTATTGACCTTGGAAGCTGTGAAGGCCTGGACGACCTTGTGTCCGGACTCTTTCACTGCCTGCAGACCGGCCGTGCAATCCAGATCATCGGCGTGCCATTTCCAGATCTCGGGAAGTGGATGGATCGCCTGATGGAAGCTGGCTTTTGGTCAATCAAGGCAGAGTTCCTGCCTTTGGGGGCAAAGGTCGGGGCAGTCGCATAGTAAGTATTTCAACCGCCCTGAGACAGCAAGAGAAATTTAACCAACATTGTAGTGTGAATGTCTTCGCCGACAAGCCAGCCACGCCGAGCCCGACATTTTGGGGGATTCAAAAACATGACCAAAACGCCGAGTCGCTTGCCAGGAACCATTTTATCAGCCTTGCCATCGAAGTTCTCAACAACAACCCTGACCGCTTGCCGGACCTCCGCTGGTTGATATCTATTGATCTAGGCCTTCGAGCCTGGTTTGAAGCTGAGCTTTTTCAAAGAATACGAAATGTACGTGTTAATGACCGTTGGAGATGGAAATGATTCTGACGGCTTTAAGGATGCTGGAGTAATTGCTGAAGCGTTGTTACAACGATATCTTCACTTCATAGCAAACGCTATGGACCACGGCAAATCTCGGGCCCCGTCTAATCTGCTATGGCTGGTAGATAGGGGTAGACCACCACCCAACTGCCCGAATGCACTTGATGACATCGCGTTTTGTCGGCTTCTCCTTGAATGCGCCGGTGGTCAGGAAAATGATTTGAATGACTGCTGTTACACTCAAGACGACTTCGAAGGATTCCGAAAATTGTGCCAACTTATTGATCGGGAACACCCGCCCAATGTTGACGCTATTCATCTTGGATAGAATGGGGGGCCACTGTGTGTAACAGAAGACGACTTGGGTGACGGACGCGAGCAATGATGCTCCTAGAAGAGGGAGCAAAGCTGGTCGACAGGTCTCTAAGCGAAGGATATAGGTTGTCTCAAGCCTGTCAGTCAGTCTTCACTTGTCATGAAGACTTGTTGGACGATGCTGGACACGAGAAGATATAGATTCTGTTGGATGCTAGTGTAAGGACAGCAGTTTCATTGGGGTACATACGGAGCGCTGATATCGAGACCTCATGGATACAACTCGTCTTGAAGAGGTAGAACTCTGATTCCCCTGTTTTGCATTTGGCAATGCCTTCTCCGTTATAAATCGACCCATGGTATCATGATCATGCGTGAAACTCGATTTTATGATCAGAGCGTTCGCGTAGCGACGGGGGTGAAAGAGGGACAGGCCCTGCCTCGGCAAAGGCGCAGGTATTGGTAGCTGACAGGCTGCTTTCCCTTTCACACAACCCCTGATATGCATATATAGGCCGCCGTCCCCCCGAGGTCTTTCCTACTTTCTTCCTCATTCTGCACCCTCTTATGACACTGGCTGACTCAGCGAGAAGCGATGAAAAACACCACCCTGAAGACCTTGCCATCCAATGTCACTTCACAGACCAACCAAGAAGGCATCCAGCCGGGCT